TTTCGACCCAGTCTCCCACTGTTTATGAAATGTTGCCTTGGAAGTCGCCTTGGAAACGAAGGCAAACTTCTGACCACTGCAAGAAGCAACTCCAACCAAGATGGCGTCAAGAATCATGCATGGTCGGCGAGAAGGCCAAACAAGAGGTAATCTCGTCTCGTAAACGCTTATTTTTGAGTGATATGTGAAATTAAGTTATTTTTCTACCTTTTCGTCGTTTAGAAATGGGTGGAACAAATATAAGTGTCATTCCTGAAGGAGTTGATCCGCGAGAGGTGAGATAGAGTTTTACTGTCGACGAGACACAAGTTTCTTGAAATCTGTCGTTCAGTTGTTTCTGTCGCTCAACAAAGGAATCTGTCCTAACTCTTGTACAATGATCTGTTTTTAGGTAACAGTTCTCCAGCCAGAAGCATGGAGGCGAATACAAAATAGTCTTTCACATTATAACGAAGAGCAAATGCGATTGCAAGCGAAGAGACAGGAAAGGGAAGAACTCCATGCTCTGTCGAAGGAGTCGGTAAAACATTGGGAAAATACGATCGAGGTATGATATTTCCGTATTTAGTGTGCGCGTTTGTTTTCGTAAACGCTTATGTTAGGAAACTGAATTTAAAAAGTGATAGATCAAATAAAGATCTGTTAAAACTCTTGAAAGGCAATAAAGATTTTTGTGATCATACTTTTAATACATGCAAGCTTACATGTATGTGTAATCTGTTTCCCCAGTAACAAGCACGATGAAAAATTGAAATTTCTACTTGACTCTTAACTAGTTAACAACTTAAGTAAGATCCTATTCTCATTTCAACATATTATTGAAGGGACAAAGACTGAAGAAGCTACAAGCTCGGAAACTCAGAGAAGAGAAGGAGTAGGTAAGGAAAAAAAAACAAATCTTAAATGTGTAAAGCCACAGTTTACTTCATGATCTTGCTTTGCAACTGAGCTGTTTCTTTAGAAAAAGATGAAAAAAAAATCAGTTATCTTTGCCAACATTAAAGTCACCTACTTCAAAATTTTGTGAATACTCCGATTCATGTAAGAAATCTCTAATTAATTTAATGGCAAAATATGTAAAAGTAAAAATACATTGAGCGTCAGGACGTAGGGTTGATACAGTCCCTCAGTATGACCATCACTCTTGGTTACTAAGATTTGGATGGCAATTAAGGACGGTGCCTACTTTTGTTAGTGCGCAGACGTTTTGCGCATCACGCAAGACATAGTTCAAGCATGTGCGCGCGCTAGGGTTGACATTGACGCAATCAACTACGCCACCAAGTACATGACTAAAATGGAAGCAAAGTTTTCCTACTGTGACCAAATCATGTTTAATGCCAGGAACACCAGAATAGCAGCATATCGCTAACCACTTACTGTTAACGTCTTCCAGCTGAAAAACTAGCTGTCATCTGTCGAAAATTATACTGAAATCCAACTGTGAACATGTACCTGCAGATGGTGTAGTGCGCGCGCAAAACAAGTGCGAGATACGCAATTTTTTTACTTACTGGGGAGGTGACAGGAAAAAATGTAGCGGGCACCATAAAAGTTTTAAAAAAAATCAATAACTTTAAAAAACGCGTGGTTACCCCTACATTTTATGTTATGAAATAGAATTGGCAAGCCTATTCAATATGTGACTAGTTTCTGGTGGTGAGCAAAAGGTATTTAGACTGTATTTTAGCTGAACCAGAGGAAGACTGTCAGACATGCTAAAAGCGCTGTTGCAACGATTTTGTCATAAAAAAACTTACCAGAAATGGTTTTTGGGTTACCATTTACTATGCATTTTTAAGATCTTTATAGATGTGTTTGCTTTTCTGTATGTAAAGGCGAATTCTAAGGAAATCTGTGAAGAAATATCCTTTCCTTCTTTTTTTCAGAAAAATGCTGATGTCAGCATTTTTGTTGAGATTCAAGGCTAATTATCTCGAAAAAATGCGTGGCTACCCCAATTTTTCTTTGTGGATTCCACTAGCCCTTGCAAAGATCTACTCTTTCCGCCTGGTCTTAACCCGGTGCAAAAACCTTTGTATTTAGTAGGCACCGTCCTTAAATTAACTCTTAACTGAGGAGGAAAGAGTTAAGATTGACATAGAAGAAGTTAAACACCATGCACAGAAAAGAAAGGAGGCCATTGAGAGAGCAGTACTACCATATTGCGTTCAGAAATTATTGAGCGTGAGCTGGGACCCAATGATGCGCGAAGGCGGTGCGCAGAAAATGTTGAATGAATATTGCACCGTGTTGAACCAATATTTCGATCGTGAATGTGAATGAATATAAACCGTTGAATGTGAATGAATACATCCCGTAAATGTGAGTAAATATATTCCTGAATACGAAATACGTCGTTAAATGTGAATTAATATATTTCTTGAACATAAATTTAGTTCTTGAATGTGAATAAATATATTCGTGAATAATAATAACAACATTAAATGTGAATGAATATAAACTTTGTGAATTTTGCACCATTTCGCCAACCATACTA